TAAGAGTAGACTGTTAGACTGCCTCAATTTCTCAAAGATATCTCATAAACAAGGAAGATTTAGGAGTTTTGAAAATCTAAACTTTCCATAAGTACATTAGAAAAACACGTATCACGAATCACTATATCTTCTAACACATTAGTTGAGGATGTCATGGCATTAAATAAATTATGCCACTGGACACCACAATGACACTGTGAGCTACAAGTTTCAAGATATTCCAGTGATTAAAGAATTTTTAAGCTGATATGCAGAAGTTGTTTATCAAGGAATATTATCTTTATGGAAGCAACATAATTGCATAATCAGAGATATAAGGGATGAGAGAGAGTGAAACAAAATTCTAGAAACAATAATTAAAAACAGATTGTTCCTCTGGTGATAAATTAAACTCTATAGAAGTTGCCTTTAAAACTTTTAGATCATTTCAATATGTTAAATAGTAATCTCCTGAACACTATCCCCAAGGAAGTGTAAGAAAACAAAATCCAAATAAGTATTATTAGAAAACGTAGCTACATTTTTCAAGAGAGTATACAATTAGGAAAGAAATGTGCTTTCTGTTGCAACTTACAGCTATTGGTGTCATTGGCAACGGCTATGATTCCCATAGGCTGATGTGGAATGTCAGAACGAAGAACTTTTGTATCTCCGCCTGTGTACTTGTTGGAACGCAGAATAGCTCTTCTTCCCCAGTCTGACCAGAAGATATAATTATCATAAACAGCCAGACTGAGAAAAGTCCCTGGCCCAGATTTGACAATCACCTGGAATAAGTTAAAACAACACATTTTTACAATGAAGGTACAGTGATTCATATTTCCAAGGCTTGAAAAAATAAGGGATTTAGATTAGCTGGACTTAAATTAATAGCACTCATTAGAAAAAAATAACATTTACCTAAAGGGGTTGTCATAATATGTTTTTAAGTTTATCTAAACTGTTTTAATCATCTTTATTGTATGCAATGTATTAAGTTAATATTTTAAGTATACTTTCACTTAATAATGAGCTGGTTTTGATAAACAATTTTATATTCATTATTGTAAGTCAAAATCTCCAAGCTGAAATATAAGGTTAATTTGTGATAACTAATAGACATTTGGAGTACCTGGGTGGTGCAAAGAGTTAACACTCTTGGCTGCTAACTGAAAGGTTGGAGGTTGGAGTCCACCCAGAAACACCTTGTAAGAAAGGCCTCGTGATCTACTTCTGAATAATTAGACATTAAATACTGTATAAGCACAGCTCTATTCTGACTCAAAGCAACTGGTATAATAGACATTTATTCATATGTATGAAGAAATCTCCAGATATATACTGAACACCCACCAAGCTCTCAGAACTGTATATGGAAATAAAGAATCAAAAGATCCAAGTTCTTCCTTCAGAAAGCTTATAGCATAAATAATTAAACTAGATGTACATATACAGGTAGTCCCCCACTTACAACGGGGTTCTGTTACAATGACTCTGTCATAAGTCGGTTTTGTCTTAAGTCGAATACCTCTTTTTTTTTTTAGTTTTCATTATTATTGCCTTTTATTATCAGTATTGTTACAAATCCAATTTTTATTTATCTTTAGGGGTTGGAACATCACATATAAACATCTGCTAGTGAACATACGAGAACGATAATACCAGCAAATTACCCAGTGCAACATGGTACATAGTACATATTACTGACTATAAGATATATTAAAAAAACAAAAAAAACCAAAAAAACAGGCTTGTAAGTGCAGATTGTCTTAACTTGAATATGCCATAAGTTGGGGACTACCTGTAGTGGAGAAAAAATTTTAAAGACCAAACTTCCTTTCAGATCAAGATGGAG